CAAATGATTATCAAATATATAAAAGAAAGCTCTTCACTCTACACTCAAAATAAATTTAAAATGAAACTACAATGAGATGCCACTTTGACCTGTCTAATTGCAAAGATCCAAAAGACTAATAACATATTATTTCTCAATTGCTATTTATTTATTTTATGTTCTAGTCACACTGTTTTAGGTGCTGGGGATACCATTAGTGAGAAAACAAAAAGAAATCAATAAACAAAAATCTTGTTCCTTCATGGAGTTTATATTCTCAGGTGGTATAAGAGACACTCGTGGTAGTAAAATTTGGTACAATTTCTATATAGACAAGCTTGACAACATTTATCAACTCTTTGATCAAACCATTGTGCTTCTAACATTTTTCCTACACATATATTAGTATTTACATAGAGGCAAAATGACATTTAATGGGGCTAATTACATGGTTTTAACATCAGAAGATTGGAAATCACCTACATTCCACTAGTAGAGAACTGGTTTAATAAATGGTAGTGTATTCATGAGGTGGAATTTAACAGTGCCATAAAAGAAAAAGAGCTCTGGAAAAATTAATACTGAAATCTCTCCAAAATACATCTGTATGAAGCAATATCTATATTTGCATATATGCATAATGTATCTCTAGAAAGATACAGAAGAAATTAACAACAATGAAAAGGAAGAACAATCAGAAGACAGACATGCCACTTACACTCTTTCATTCTATTTAATCATGCATATGTTGTCCATTCAAAAATTCAAACAAAATATAGATAAAAACGGGCACATCAAAACTAACCTTGATGTGGGTTAAATCGAGAAAGGGTGCCATCAATTTAAAAATCTGTGTATGATTGCTATTAAGAATTTATAAGAAAATAAAGCATTTGTAGGATTATTATAATTTGACTAACTTAAGGTAATAGTAGAGATGTAGACTGAGAGCTGTCTTAGACTTTTAAGTCAGATTATAAGAAATTTAACAGTAACAGAATAAGGATTTGCAGACCAAGCTATTTGCCCCATTGCTCTTAATAAGCACATACCTAACTTAATTCTTCTCACTTTAAATTCATTGGCAAACTTTTCAAGTTCTCGGATTTCTGGAGAATCCATATCTATTGGCTCTTCAACCAATTTACTTTTCCGCCTGAGTTCCTGCTTGAAATCAGCAGCTGTGGGGTCCTCTGCCAGGAGAGGCTGGTGTATGGGAGGAAATCCATGACTCAAGGTGTGGTCAGGAAATTTATAAAGACAAGGGGTTAAACTACCTGTGAGTAAACAAAAAAAGAAAAGGAAAGGACCATTTGTAATTATTCCTTATTTCTATACAAGGAACAGTTTTGCCTTCAAGAGCCCATTATTTTGTTATAGACATTCTTAATACTTAAAGGTTACCTTACGTTCAGTCTTCCAAAGGAGGAGTCAAAGTACCTTAGTCAAATTGGGGTTATTTGTCTTCCACCCACTCCAGAGCGGCAAAAGCGAAGATAATGTTAAAGGAAAGAAGCAGGGGATTGGGAATAATTAAAACAAAAATAAGCAAATTATCTCAGAAGTGTAAGTTTCCATCATTTTTCTCTTAAAAGACACCTATTCCTGGGAATCTGAGGTTCGACTCTAACTAGAATCTACATACTGATCTGTGTTTCCTTAAATCATTGAACACATAATATGTGATGTTTGCTATAAC